TTTTTTGTGTCATTACAGAAACTTATTGTGTTGTGAAAAGTTTTTGAAAATCTTAATCTTTATTGTATTACTGATGTATAGGAGTGATATGATCTCATCATTTCATTTATAGGAGCGTAGAAACAATAAGTAACTTGTTTATTAAATAAAAAACTAACGGTCAACAACTCCAGTGATGAGGTCAATGAGGATTTGTGTATAATTATGAGAAAATATAAATGTTTAGACATGGTTGACAAAAAAAATGAAAACCAGACAATTGGTAAAGATAATAAGTTTGATGATCAACATTTTAGATATGAGGAGAGGATAAAAGGTGAAATGTTGTTGAAATTTATGGTGAAAGTTTTCTAATTACAGTTGGCCGGGCATCTTTTTACCCTCTCCTGCTAATGCATGAACCACTCTGGTGCCGCTTTTGAATCCAAGTATTAAGATATTTTGGTATTTTTATATGTATTTATAATTTTTTTGTTATTTCATGTTTGTGTCACAGTTATTAAGTTGGCAGTTTTGTATACCAAAAACAGGGTGATTTTGTCGAGTCTGAATAAATACCTTTAGTGTTTATGCCTTCCAATAAATGTCTGTTTTTTCGTCGTATCGTGCATCTAATGTGTAATCGATAAATGTGTGGACGAATTTTTACAGATTATAAAGGGCTCGGACATTGTATTTGGTTTGGAAGATGAGCTTTGTGTCCGCTACAGGTTATATGATTCCTAGTTTTAAAGAACAAATATATTTTTTTTATGTACCGGACGAGTCAGAGTTGAGGAGTCACTGCCCAAGGCCATCACCGTTACCGCATATTTTTGTTTCTGTAGCTACTTTGGGGTAGTCTGTCGTTGTCGTATTGTTAAACGTTTTTTTTTTTTATTGTATTACTGTCTGTAACTGTATCTGGGTTGTTGTTATCTCCACTCAAATGACGCTGCTCGATTTCTCGGTATAGTCTCGGCGTTTCGAGTTTTTTAGTTTACTCTGAAAACAGTTATAAACGCCAGTGTTCCACAAAGCGGCATTTTATCCCCTATTCTATATACAATTTATGTTTCTGAGCAACCAATCACTCTTAATATGTCAGTAGCTGACCATTCTGATGACAAAGCGATCATTTCTATCAACGATGATCCTCTCACTGCCTCTAAAAATCTGCGAAATCGCCTTGTAAATATTGAAAGTTTTACTAACAATAATCACATTAGGTTAATGTTTACCAAAACCAATTTATTCACACTAACTCTACAATCAGATAGTTCCAGTTCTTTCCCCTACTGTTTTATATCTTTTTCTAACACTCGTATGAGGACTAACTTGTGCCCACCATAAAGGAACTATAAGACTAAATAAGTTACAATAATTCAGACTATATAAGTTCTAAATAATCGCCTACGCATCAATATTAAACCGTCATATTTGTTAATTTTAGTATATATTATTATTGTATCAAATGATACAGATTGTGTATTGCTTGTAAAAATAAAAACCGCTGAAAGCAACGTTTCGGCCAGGGAAAAGAAAAATGTCAAAAAATACTTCCCATGTATATACATTATATATTATGTTTAATGTTTATACATTATTTAAACATACATACATTATACATAATTTATATTTACTTTCTTCGTTGACTTGGCTTTGGTCAGCACGGTTCGCCAGGGCATGGCGCGTACGTAAATGGAAAGAATTCCGGTGAATGTTTATCATTCCTATTTATTATTAATCCATAAAATGAAGTACAAATCAAAAAAAAAAAATTGTAAATAAATAACCTATCCGATAAAAATATCCATATGGAAATTGAAAAAAAAATACTTTTTAATATAAATGTGTAAAAAATATGATAAATATAGACGTTTATCGTTATCGGTTATTTTATATCAAATACTATTAAGTATTTCAAAATGAAGTAAGTGGCAATATTAATTATTATAATATTATACATTTATTTTTAATGAATAATTTCTCTCTAAATCCCTCAACTGACCCAACTTCAATGATAAGAATATTTTTCATGAAATTCTCGAACACGATTATACTCAACTTGCGTGTGCGAAACTGTAGATATTATGATTGACAATTTTCTCATATTTTATTGGCATAGAGGAGATCGATGACACGTCAAATCGAACTTTCTTGCCTAGGGAAGATGACTGAACTTCGAATAAATCCAATTATCGTCATGAATTTATTTATCAATGTACATATTATAATATATATATTGTTATTATTAGAATAGTCATGAAATAAAATAAAATGTAATTAACTTTATTTAAGGTGTAATAAATATGATATTTATTGAGGTATGTGTAATATAGATACCCATGTAAAATAATATATTATTATGATATTATAATTGCGCATTTACGCCTCATTGGTAGTATATAGTTATTAAATTCGCTATTCTATTGACGAAATTTTAATTGGACCATTAAAATTGAAAGGTTAATAACAAAATATTAGAAGTTCTTGTCTTATATTGATTTATTAAACGTTTACTTTGATCAGTACCTAATGGATTCAAAATTATTTTTCATCAGTAAAAATACAATAATACAACTGTACGAATGGCGAAGATAAATCATATTATATCTAGGATTTTAAAGAGAAATAACATTTGTACATGAGGGTGCATGTGCAATAACCACGCACGAGCGTATATATCACTAAACAAATCATCGAGAGCTTAATAGTCTGGACAACTTTTATCCAAAGTCATTTATTCCCATGAAGAATGTCTTGACGTGTAGTGCCGACGTTATTTCTTGAATTTTATGCGAAGATATCTGTCAGTAGATTGAAAAAAAAACCCCGTACTAAAACTTTTACTTTTTTTCACATCCTTTTTACTTTAAATTCTATTAACACAATACCCACATTCATGAAGTTCAGTAAGTATTTACTTTTTTCATACAAAGCACTTTATGCTAAAGTGACGAATATATTAATTAAATGTATTATTTCATATTATTTTAGAAAGAAAAAGTAGGTAATCCACTCGGCTGTAAAGATTGTTGTAGGTCTCGAATGTGCATCGTCAGTGAGGAGGTCAATTGATATGTTCAATTTGAATTCCGTCATAAATAATTGTATACGAAAAACGATTTTGAGCTAAGTTGGTCTGTCAACTTATATTGCCGAATAATTATCATACAATACTTATATTGTTATTATAGTAATAATTAATTTGCTATAAAAATACGGTAAATAATCAATAGCTCAAAATATAACTAAATATTTGGGAAATATCATTGTTTATAAAAAATATGATTAGGCTTATACGAAGTAGTTTCGAATGCATTTTAATTACAGAAATACATTATGTAAAACCGTTATTCATTGTTTAAATATTCAATTCCATCAAAATTTGAACTTCAAATGTCTATAAAAACAATTATGCTTTTATATATATCGGTTTCAGTAAGGTCAATTTGATTTAATAAATCATGTATTACATTTACAAGCCATGTGTATACAAATTTGAACATCTTAGAAGTTTTACAAAATAGTTCTATACATTTTGTCAACATTTTACACACACATTTCATTGTAAAATCAATTCATTAATCGCTGCACTAAAAATCTAAAAAAAAAAATTATATTTTTGATTGTAATATTAGCTAAGTCAGTTTGTCTTGGAAATTTTTTTGAGCTTTTAGAAAATAATATTAATTGGATTAATGAATATTTTTTTTATTTATGTATTTCTCTGTAGTATGCCAATTAAATTACTTAAACGGTTATATAAACAATACTAATTTAAATTCCAACTTCTAAATTCTGAAATCATATTAAGTTGTGTTCAATGTATTTTAATTACGGTACCTACCTAATAAATATCATCTTACAAAAAATATCAAATATAATGACATCACTTTTGATCTATTTACTTAATCAGTACAGTCTTAAGATATAAGATAGAATATTTGGTATGTTGTATAACATGTAGTCAATAGGTAATAATATCGAATACAATATCAGTTCAATTTAAATTGTCGTTGAATCGCAAAATTATATTTACCGTTAAAATATTAAACTTGCGTTATAATTATATTAGCATCAGTTGAATTTTATTTATTTGGAATAAATCAACCGTTGGTATATTGCAATCTCTATACGTACGATTGTCAAGCAATCGCGTTCCATTTGATAGGATAATCCATTTCAACAAAATATACGCCTGTGTGCCGCCAGGGAGTCGGTCGGTTAGGGAAGAAAACCTTTTTGCGGAAAAACCCTCAAAGTCCATTAAAAAAAAATACATATATAGCAAAAGAAATCTTCATGAATGTACATTGTACACACAAAAAGGCAAACGTATAAATTTTAATCGACTTTTCTAAAAGCTAATAAAAAAATTATTAAGTAGCAAAATAGGTTTAAAATGCATTTACGGTTTATGCTATTAGCAAACTTTCTTTTCTATTTTAAATATAAAAAAAACGTTTTTCTTGACAATTTTAAGCGTAAGTATTAAAAATGTCCCTTATTGTTCTTTAATTCATTTCGTGATATGTACTCATTTCCTTTAAATGTCTATGGTTTATTGGTATTAGGTATAGGTGCCCATTAAATCGTTGGTAGTAATTTGTTAGTATCTAATAACATATACTTGAATTTGTAGGTGGCTAAAAAAGTATATATCACGTGTAGCTATAACTTTTTGAGACTTCGTAATTCATATGCTTTTTATAAGCAGTAATTCCCACCGGAAGTCAGTAAATATCGAATTCTGGTTTAAAACTTTTCAAACTATCAAATCGTTTTTTACACACACACACACACACACACCCTTATAAATATTAACTTAAACTTTGTAATTTGTGTTAGATCTACTTTGAGACGATATAAATATTATACCTCAAGAGCCTGGACGTTGTTACATGGTTGTCTAACCTTTGTTTTTCTACTATTTTTTCTATTATTTTTTGACGGTATGATATATTTAATATTATATAAAAGTATATAATTTAGTAACATATATAATGTACTTATAGATATCGTGTTAAAAGGCAACAGACAGTATCACAAGTGTCGAGAATCATGGAGAGCGGGTACGTGCTTGATTTTATATAATGTCGGGTGCAACTGTTACAGGATGTTTCATGGTGTTCTGTTCCAAACCTTAAGAACTATAATATCTCAACAGTAGAATATACTTTACATTTTACAATGTATATTTTACTCAATAACACGATAAAGATAAAATACAAAACACCCTGTATACGCCACAAGACTCAAATGAACGAACTTTTATATGTACACCAAAAACATTTAACCTCATCGTCCTTACCTATACCACATTATTATAATATTATCGAGTAGGTAAAGCTGCTGATGTATGGCCAGTATAATACAACTACGAATACTACGATGTTTTTGTTATTATTGTACTATAATGATTGATTCTTGGCGTTTAATCCATTTATTCTAAAGCATCGTTTCGGTTACTACATAACATCATATGCACATATATATACATATAATTCTATACTTTAACAAGTTAGAAAGATGATCTCTGTTAAAGATTACCGATATAATATGACTGCAGACATGCCTGGGTTACACATTTTATTTTAAACATTTGAGTTATCTTTTAATTTGTCGTTAACTACAGATCGTTAATTACGATTTTAGCCATCGTACAAATAATTTGATATAATAACAATTGTATTATTGACTGTGTATAGTCTTATACTATTATGATTATATTATAATATGTGAAATACAAATATGAATAATATATACTATCATAGTATCGTTTGTATATTATAATATGGTTATTTAACTGTTTCAATCAAAGAAGAATCAAAATTCAATCCACATGTTTGACAATTGACAAACTTACTATGTCGATTAGTTTCCAAATCAACTGAATTAAATTTGATATACTTTTAACAATTTCAATTGTGTAATACTAGTTTTTATTTAAAAGTATGGATCGCGAATAGTTAAGAAAATGTTATTGATCATTACTAAAATTGAAAATACTAGTTATTTGTGAAAACAAATTTTTATTATTATCAATTAAGAAAATCTATATTTATGCTATTATTTATTACGTTATTTGTAATTTTAACTAAAGACTTTTAAATACATTTTATTTTTCAAATTCAAAATATTAAAACTAAGAAAATGTATAATGAATAATGAATAATGATAAAAATAGTCAATAAACAGCTAGGTATCTATAAGCTAACATAGTATATTATAACCTACCTACCAACAATGATGAGAATACCTGTCCCAAAGGGTGTAGAATACTCCTTTGTGCATTATGAATGTGCAAAAAGATAAAGGAGTATTATTAATAAGCAGAGCCTTTGTAAGACATTATTTATGCGCTCGGCACAATTTAGGTTATTTGATTTAATTAATTTTTACAGTAAATGTGTCCACTTTTTCCTTTATGACACACCTGCTGTAAATTAACTGTTATTCTGCCAATCTATGTGTGTGTCGATGTATAGGTATTGTACCCAAGAGATAAATCCAATATCTTTCAAATAAATAGTTCTAAACATTTGATTAAATTCCTCGATCGTTAACCTTCTAGTGAAACCATGTGTTTCGTAACAGAAATGACTTTACGAACTCATAACGGTAGTTTACAGTTCGATTCACTTCCGTTATTACTGATATATATCTCCAAAATAGCCGATTGGTGCAAGTACTTAATGATATGTATCTTAGATCAGTTAAACTGTTGTCAAAAGTAATGTCAAAGTTGATATAATTATGTGCCATCAACCATTTTTAAGTAGTTCCTCATCACCTCTCGTTTACTATACAATGAATAACAGTAATATTTCGAGAATAGTAGACTACTTAATAAACAAATAAATATCGTTTAACTATATATTATCTAGTTAAATAATACTTTGTTAACACTAATTTAACTTTTCTAGAACTTTAATTATTTCAAATTCAGTATCAAAATAAGTGTTATTAAAATACTATGAGTTTATAAATACTTGTTTGAAAAGACATACATAATTATGAATCAAAACCACATTGATATTTCTTCTTATATGGAGTGATCCGTTTAACGTAATATACTCATTAGTTCAGAAAACGGTAACGTGTTTGAATATGTATTATTCTATTTTGCAAAGTTTTAAATCATTACATAACAACATTTTTGAAAAAAAAAATTATAAATTTTACTTTTTTTTATCTTTATAATTTTTTTTTAAATTTCTATTTTTTTGAATGTATACATTTTGAATTTCATATTCCTATCCAGATTATAATTCGTAGTATTTCGATACATACAAATTTAATTTCAGATAAGTAGTTCATTATTTCTATATTATGTATTTAAAGTTTAGATGATCAAAACCTAAACCTATAACCTAACCTAACCAACTGTGTACCTTATCTAGCAACATTTTATAGTAGGTATCTCTGCACCACTCTTTTATTCTTTGACTTAACTTTAAATAAGTAAAAATCATTAAATAATCGTCCAATAATCGATTTGTATGTATCAGAGTACTTCAACAAAATATATTCTGCTTTGAAATAAGCCTTGAAAAAAACGTTAATAGTTATTAAATTAACATTTGGCCTGAGTGAAATGGATTACCCAGTATAGTTACAAGATTATTCTTATTATTTGTATCAACAATTATTGTGGACCAATGTGTAGGAAAAATACTAAACATGTATAACATAAATTAGTTTATTTAATTAGTTATTTATTAGTTATTTAATTAATTATTTGTCTTTTTAAAATTCAATTCTCAACACATTTTTAAGAACTATTAAGAAAGTAGAATGAAAAATAGTATATGTAAGTTTAAGTTCGTAAGTTTCTTAGAGTTAAAATGTTTTATGGTTTATAATAATTAATGTAACATTTTCGTGTTGGATGTGTTTTTGTAATTTCTGATCATAATCCAGTGGGCAGTGAATTACTCTCTGTATACACATTGTTATACCAACACAGCGGTGGCTTGAGTTCAAAAACAATTGTACCTATTGCCTATTGGAATATTATGTATTGTATTTTTTTGCTTTCTTCTGGATTATTTTTATGACTGCATCAGAATGCACCATCTACAGCTGTTTTGCATTTAAATCCACGCCAGGAGGCCCTATGCCAGTACTCAGTATGTAAAACGACAATGAGCTCTTTTGTGTAAATGAATCGCCTGCTTGTGAAATATCTGGTATTTGTTTTGTGGTCAGCTGTTACTGTTGTCTTTTTTTGACCTTTGGAAAAGGAATTGGGTGTATTTGACAGAAACCATCAGTTCTAACGGAACATTTCCTACCACTACTTCTCCCAGACAATCCGATCTTGGAAATAAATATCATTTTTGAACGGTCATATAACAAGCATAGCTGGTTGTCGCTAACGCGTGTGTAGAATCGTTGGGTTTAAAGATAAAAATAGAAGAATGTGTTTTGTTTTAGTCCCTTAACAATTTTATCCAAAAAACAAATGTGTCGACTGAACATTGTCCTCGCGTATTTTGGAAACTTTAATATTTATATTTTGGATATGACTTAATTCCTACAGTTAAATGTGACAGTAATAAAGTATTTTAATTACATTTTTATGATTACTTTATTAAGATACCTACATAATATGTTTTAAACTCTTTCAAATATCAACAAAAAGTACAAGTAGACAAATAAAAACTATGATGTTGTAATATCAAATTGCATTGAATGTTAAAGTTATCAACGGATACAGTTACAAATTTGGTGGTTTGCATTTTATATTCGACAGGACTGTCACGTAACTAAGAAGCTGAACATTAGTAAATGTAGGGTAAATAAGGGTACCGTGCTCACAAAAGAACTTTTCGAATGGCCATTCATTTTTCATTTGTCCTCTTATAAATGGTAAATCCAATTTTGATTCCTGAATAAGAGAACCCACTTCGGTACCAAGAAATTTAAATGAATCAATAAATTGGAAAAAAAACTATTTAGTTATCAATAATTCAAGTATTACACATGAAAAGACCAAACTATCTTCACAATATATAAAGAAAAGGTTTAATTGAAATACATTAAATATCAATACAAAACTAAATTATACTGATTCAACATGCAATACTTATAGGATAAAATGTTTTAAACCCATCGCCCGATGTATGAGTAAGATAATAATCAGGTGTATCGAACTATTTATAGTTTATACCTACGTAACTATATCTCATTTCCATGCGATGAAAATTCATTGGGGTTTTATCTCGATAAATCGCACTGGTAGAAAATATAGTTTATTTTATTATTATATCCTCTAAAAAATAGAATTCTTTAAAATGCATGCTATTATTCAAATATTATATTTAAATGTATTTATTTCTATGTTTGTAAATTATTATCATCCAAAAATAAAAATTCATATTTTAATTCTTATTTTATAATTTATTGAACAACCCAATGCACAGTAACTCTAAGTATGTATTTTTTTTATTTAATGAATGAATAATATTTTAGTATAATGAACTATCTTAGTGTTTATTCATTCATATTCTTCTATTCATTCAAAAAGCTATATTATACACTTTAGCCAGTGTACTTTACATCAAAGACAAGAGTTTTACAAGTAGGTACTAAAATATCATTCAAATGTACATTTGAGATATTGTGATATTTTTTTACGGAATTACATCTACAAAAGTCACCGTATTTAGTGACAAACAGTTTAATGTATTTACTATTTAATAACAGTTGTAAAGTTTTATGTAACACATTAATTATAGAACAGAAACCTATCTCAGTAGTTTATCTAAACGTAAAGTAAATTAAGTCCCAAAAATCGTAGAAAAATGTTCAATTTATGTCAGCTAGTAAAGTTTTATTATAGTTCCGTTCAAAATATTTTTTTTTATCTGTTTCAATGACAAATTATTGAGACAAATTAATATCATGTCATTATAAGTAATAACATGTCCTGCACTAGAGTGAGTTAAGTGACACGTAGGCCAACAATCGTTCACTGCTGGTGCTTCTTACCTGTTTTTATATTTTTATAAGTATATGAAAAAAATATGTTTTTGTGATTTTCATAAAATGGACATATTTAAAATAA